ATTTACGCAAAAATTTCGAGTTTCTACTTCGGAACGAACCTCACGTGTTTAAAACCCAGGTTTAATTAAAACATGTTACGTGTAATTTGATTGTGGTAACAATTTGGATTTGTTAGCAACGAAGGATCTTATTTCGAGTAATCACCAAGTTCATTCGCGTATCGATAGAGTTTCGATAATGATTTTGATTGGCGAGGGATACGTCGTAGTTTGACTTTCGTATTGAACCACTTAATAATCGTATTTGGATGCTCATTAAATTATGTATATTTATCGTTAAAGTAACTTGGTAGTCAAGTTATAATAGAAATTTTTGTAGCTAGCGAAGCCAGCTGACTTTGAGATTTTTTTTTATAACTTCTTGTAAATTAATAAATCGTGGTTATTAATCAAATATATTACACAAATAAACAGTGTTAATCTAGCGTCCACAGTAACACGACACCGCGTTATTTAAAATGATCTAGTACGTGATTTAAATTTTTCATTACTCGTGAGTATACTACCGTATTTAATGTGCTTGATTCTATCAGTGTATGCATCTAGTTGAAAACTTAGTTCGTCGAAGTTCTAGTCTAATGCGGCGAAGATATCTTAAGATATTAATGAATTTCTTGTTTAAACGAAATGAGTTTGTTTAAAGTGCTTCATTCAATTTCTTTACCGTGGAAAAGAAAGTTGATGAGATAAATTTAAGGCAAACAACTACACTTCTTTGAGTAAACGTTGAATCATCCGTTCAAGATTTTACGTAAAGTCACTTTAGAGAGAATTGAAAATTGTATTTTAAAATTAGATGCAGGAGGATGTTATTAATTATGGTTTGTCGACGGTGTTTGTTTATTTTGCTTTTAGAGGAAGCTTTGATGAGGATAATCTGCGTGGTTTTTTTTCCGGAGAAGTAAGCTTGTTTGCTTGCTTGCTGAGTTCTTGTTGTTGACTATCTTATATTTTCTTGTAGTGAAAATGTTTCCAGAAATTAATATTGACTAGCTTGGTAGCGTATTTGAAAAGTCAAGGCAGAAGAAATTGTAAGTCGTGATGCATTTTCTCAGTTGCGTTGATTTTGTTCTTTTATAGCAGGATTTTAAAATGCATGTTCGTGTAGTTGCTTAATTTAAGATTTGAAGAAAAATAGTGAATTGTGGATAGTTTCTAAAACAACGCAGACATTTTTTGTCTTTCGCTGGTCAGTTACCGGTAAAATAGAGGGTTTTCTTCGGTTTAATTGCCCATAGAATTTCCAGGGTTAATAAAAACCTCAGTGGAATCTCTGACACGTTGTAAAATTAAATATAAAACAGCAACAAAGTAGCACAATCAAAAGAAATTAAAAGTCGTTCTTGTCGTTTGGAAATGATTTCTATGTATAAAGAACGCGAGCCTTCATTTATAAATAATTTTTAGAAAGATTGGAAGCAAAGTCGATAAAAATTATTTATGGATATTACTATATTTTGTATATTTTCGAAGTGTTGTGTGGAAGTCATCAAAAAGTAATCAAACCGACTTTGATTATATTTGCGCTGCAATATGAGATTTGGTTTTAATATTTTAAGTTTGATTGGTTACTTTCTAAATCGCAGTACAAAATAACCGGCGCGTGATTTTGGTGGAATTAGTTGGGTAGAAAAGCGAGGAATTCGAAGGCAAAAATCAGTGAAAAACGTTGCTGTACAACAAAATGTTTTTTGAGAGCCTATTTAAAGTTAGAGCACGTGCGTTCCCAGTCCCCCACTAATTTACGTTAGCGTCTCTGACAAGTAGGTTTTTCAAAAATTGCCCGATTTTATCCTTAATTTCATTCGGCAGTGATTCCAAAATAACGGTTATCGCGATAAAATCCTTCGATATAAACGTTCGTAAATTTTGATATACGCTGACAGGAGATTACTGTAACTGATATTCGAATAATCTTCTGTTTAATCCGTGCGAAAAACGTACTCATAAAACTTACTTAATCTACGCGACTACGTGCCCATTACTTACCTGGGTGTTTCGACTAATCGAACATTATACCCATCAGTCGAATTTTATGCACGAATAATGGAAAATTTGTTTTTTTTTCATGCGTGATAAATATTCATGGATTGTTGATGTTTTTAATGAAAATGTATGATGGCAAGTCTGGTTGTGTCAACTGTGGATTTTTAAATTATTTTCGGTATGTGGTAATACCCGGAGGACTCGTCGCGTTTGTACTAATGGAGGGGATTTTGAAGGAGACTATTTAGATCGAAAACGTGAATTCGCTAACTAATACTTCAGAGGAACCGAAGAATTTGAATTGTAAATAGAGAAAAATAACAAGCGGTTTATTTCAAATTGAAGCCGCGCCGATAAATTCAACAACTCGCAGAAAACGGGCGCTGATGTGGTCAAACCGACTTCGCAAGCATTTTTCCCCTAGTGGGGGAAGTTGGGGCACGACGGGGTAAGCACTAACATGAAATAGTCAGCTGTCTCTGACAGTGGTAGGGTAAGATGCGGTTGCAGATCTAAATATATCTCAGAATCCCACTATTTCTTTTGCTTCTTCGTAGCATTTCCCTATGATTGTTTTCGGATGTAATTTGTTACCGCGTAATCAAACCGGCTTAAGAACCTGTTTTTGCGCTAGCTTGTTCTCCGTAAACCGGTTCAGGTGACTAAACCAGCTCAAAAACCGGTTCTGTGGGAGTACGTTTGTTGCCGCTGAACCGGCTCAGATGCCTAAAAGCCTCCAGCGACGTGTTTTTTCTCTTAGAGTTTGTTATAAATGTGTGTATAGACAAAACGACAGAGCGCCACCGTCGTATTGAGTTTATTCATTTATCATATAAAGGAATAAAAACTGGCGGTATGGCGTTGCTGAATACATTCGATTTATATTTTTAAGGAATTCCTTTACGAGGAAGTTGGGTAGCTCAGCTTTACGATTTAGTTTCGAGTATTGTGGTTATTTAAGAGAACGTAAAAAGTTGAAGAGTTTTATAAATAAAAGGTCTCAGAACGTCGTAAATACAGACTTTACATATCCTCCTCTCTTCTCGAGAGAATTATGGACAAATATCTGATGCTCTTTTCACACAAAATTCACATACAATAACCAACCGGCGGCCGAATGGGATTTACTCTGAAGATGACGAAGCGTATTGGCTCTAACAAGACGACGCTCGACCTCAACGCTCTTTTAGAACTTTCCTCGAATTGTAGTGGTATTACTAGTGTGGACAAAACACCCTTGCGGTCTCACTGATTAGTCTGCCGTACATACGACAAAGTTTACAGTTTATGACTTTGTCCCCCAGAGTCGGAGCAGTTCGTACAAGTTATTATGTTACGTCAATATTTGAAAAAGTTGAGAGAGGCCGACATGCTAAACCAAGCCGTGTTGTAATTACCTGCAACACCTCACTCATCAAAACAGAAAACTACCTTAAATTACTTTTTTTTGTTTAATTACTAAATTAAAAAACTCTACATTCGTCGAAACGGGGAAGTTCTAATCAATCATTCCGATCTCCGACTCGGCGACGTCTGAAAATGCATTCAATTCACTTGAATTTTAGCCCCTTTCAATTTTCCTACCACGCAGAAAACCTATCCCTTTTTTTTATTTTACGAAGAACTAACAAATGCAAGAAATACGACCGTATGCGAGTCGAGGAAATCTTTTCAGCTTACCTTGTAAATAAATTAAAACGCGAAATATCTGAGAAACGTAATACTAATCCTGTCACTATTTTGATTTTTCGTTCCGTTCCATTTATAAAATACAAATATATTCCGTCATTATGCCGACGTATAAACACGTTGAGGTTTTTATTTGTTAGATTAATTTTAGCCAAATAATTTGAATTTTAAATTGGGAAATTAAAATTCGTCGAAATAAACCTGGATTAATTTCACCAGATTAATTATTCTTTCAGGAATAAATCGAATACTTGGCGACTAATATCGTTTTCTGATCAATTACTGCAATGCGCATCGATTTATTAAATTGTTAAATGGTTTCATTAAAGCGACTATTAATTATCTACAAGAGCCGGAACTGCCACAAATACCTTTAATCTTACTCATTTAAATAATAATCACGCTTTTTTTGCTACGTCGACAACAACGTGCAATAAATATTCATACACATATATCGGCTAGAACTACAATATTTAAAGTAAATTGAAAATTCGGTGTCGTCAAGAGTATAACTGGTTGCCTACAAGGTGGTACCGAGTTTATTCGAGGTACTAGTGAAATCACGACCAGCGAATTAAACAGAAAACTTGTTTTCTTCGCTTTTTAAAGTAAACGATGCGGTAGTTCGGACAAATTTTCGTCAAGTTAGAACTCTGTCTGTCTCGAGGGTTTTTGTTGTGCTGTTACGATTCACAGTATCAAGGTGAAGTTTGTTACAATTGAGTTTGTTATTTTGCGACACGTTGAAGGGATTTTTTTAAGCCAGCTAGTGCACTGGGAAAAGTTCTTAAGAGATGTCCAAGGTGAAATGGTGTTGTGAAAGGAACTGAATTTATTACTTAGTAACATTTAGGTCAATTAACTAATTTCGGACCAAGAAACTATAAAATCTGTTGTGTGATATTCGCGTAAAAGCGACCTCATTTTTGTTACTGTATTTTTAATTGTTTGTCTTCTCTTTTGTAACTTTTTTTGATAACTTGCTGGCGCCTTTGAAACATACAAAACATACAATTGGTTCGCTTAATGTCCGCGTTGAGCGTGTTAAAAGTCGAAGATTTGTGGCCGTCGTGGCGTGTCAGAATCGTGATATATAAAATTGTAGGGAAGCATTTGGTGATATTAGCGTCCATCCGTGTTGACAAATTGTACGTTGGCGGGCCTGTAAGTACGACAATTTTTGTTTCATCGGCAAAGTGATAATAAATTGAAATGTGTAGTAATAAGAAATATAAATCAAGTTGGGGTCATGTCCTGTGAACTCTCATAATCTTTTCACGTCATGTACGGAGTAAATTGCGTTATACATTTCACGAGTAATATACTGATGAAATAAAAAGATGAACAGCGGCGGTGTATTGTGTCTGTGTAATTAAAGTTGACTCGTACGGTAGATAATTATGTAAATTGTGGTGAAATCAAAGGTTATTTTTAGGGTTGTATGATGCAAGGTATTAGTTTTCATAATGGCAGGAATGTAATTCTGCTGTAGAGAACGTTTAAATAGTCGAGTCGTTATGACTTTGAATATATGATTATATTACCGATGGTCTACAGGTCTTGTTATTTAGAGTAATTGGTAAGCGGTTATTTTATGACGAACTGTAAATGGAAATGCGACTATATTTTTACGGTTTCAGTACTTTTATATATTTTTGTAATGAGAGACTTTATTGCAGCGTCCCTTTTTGTTGATTGAAACGTGAGGGGTCGTCTGAATGGAGGAGGAAAATTTTGATTTTATAAAAGCGATATCAATGTACACATAATACGGGATCTCTGTGCGTTGGTGATTCTCTAGAGACGTAAATTTTGAATTTAAGATATTGAAGGCTCAAGTTGGCGAACAAATGAAATTCTAGATACTATACCCATGTACCACGGGGATTAAAATTTTAAATTAAATGAAATAAATTTGAGAAGTTTGCAAAGACATACTTTACTTAATTCAGTTAAAGTTTAAAATAAAACGAAAACGAACTCAATTAAAAAGGAATATTTTCTGCATTTAATTAGAACCCGAAAATATAAACGAAATTAATACGCGCGTGTTTGCCGTGAAATTGTGATGGTTATTAAATAAATAACGTTGAACAAAGTTAACTAATCCTACAAACAGGAAATTTTAATCTAATTTGAAGGAAGAGCAAATAAATTCTATAGGTTAATAAAATTTTAAAAATAAAATCTTGCTCCCCAAACGACATTCTCTGAGCAATATTTTATTCAATATCTTTCCTCAATTATTTAAAAGGGTTAATACGACGGGGGAATTCTTAACAAACTTGGAGTATTTTGTGCTCTTTATTCGGAAGTGCTAAACGGGCTTTTATGCCGGCATATGTGCACTTTTTTGAAGGAAGCTCCCTTGTTTTGAATAATAAATAGGTTTTAATTAAAAGGAAAACCTGCTCCTCAAATAAACCATTTCATTGTTGTTGTTATTAAAGTGTGAACATATACAGTAAATGTCGTATTTTACTTTTTCTAATTAGAAAAGTTAAATGTGTTTTTTAGTCCTCACGATTTCGGGGAGTTAATCTGGCGCTTAGCGTTTTGTGTTGTAAAAATTATTGCTTTCGGTTTTTTCGAGAGGATCTTCTTGGGAGCAGGAATCGGGGTTAATTTCCATGTTTTGTTTGTGCTTGAATTTCAAATTCAAGGCCAAACAAGGGATCATCCCCCGGTGGAGTATATTTGGTTGCCTATCTTACAAAGACACCCGCAGGCGTAGGCTTGAGACTTTAGAAAGGGCTGAGTGAGAGGTAATATTCAAGACTAATAGTCTGATATTTCGAACTGTGATTACATGTTTAATTTTAAATTAACTCAATTAAAATTAATTAGTTTGTTGTCGGAGCTACTCGTTTTCTAAACAAACCCTATAATTTAACTATTAACCAGTCTTGCAAGGACCTATTTGATAATAATACCATTCAAAAACGTTACTGATTAAAGCTTCATGCTCGCCGGGGTATTCAAGTCTATTTTATAAATTAAAAACCATCAAAAATTTATTTCGCACATAAGGATTACTCGCAACCCTAGCTAAATTATTCAAAACTTTGCATAGCGCTATTCTCGACGTACCTCATACCGAAACAAATTATGTGCTATTTCGCTATCATCTGATTTTTCAATGGCGGTGATCGGGTCAAGGTCGCATAAATATTGAGCGGTCGCAACTGTTACTAGTATTCTCCAGGGGTCAGGGCCCTGCTAACTCCCTAGACTAAACATTCAAGGACGCTCGGCTAATTGTGGCGTTTTTTTTTCCAAAACAAAGGCCGGATGTGCTTTAACTTCCGAAAAAATATTAAATCGAGGAAGTTTGCAGACTCGGGAGGAGTGTAAACTTATTTAATGTTCAGCTACCGATAACTTGAATATACGTGAATTATTGAAGACGTATAAAAATGGTGGAGGCGCTGGGATATCGCGGTTTCGATTTTTACAAACGAATTAATTTTGTGATAATGAGACAAAAATAACCGAAAAAAAGTTCCAAAGGATCGCAGACGACTTGATTTAGTACATAACGTTTTCTAAAACTTGAACCTGTAGCTGCTCTTGCGGTGTGATTATAAGCAAGGGGAGAAATGTAAGCAAATCTATTTAAAAGTGGTGGATGCGGCGCGATAATGATTGATTTCTAAATAAATTAAACACTTGCTACAATGCGCTACGTCTGTTTGTATGTTTGCGATGTGCTTGTAAACGAGAACTTTAAATCAAAAAGATGTTTTATAATGGTGCTTGCGCCGGAATAGCGTCAGCGAGGGGAGAATTTAAAATGGAGGAAGAAATCAAACCAGCTGCATTATATGAATCAAATCAATTTGAAAATGTATTCAACAATGAATCATTGTTCTATCCAGCTTCAAATCTTATCAACTTGCGAACCGGCCGCTTATAGGAAAATAAATTTTCTGTTATATGAAATAATTACCGAATACAAATAGAACCGCTAACAAAGAGATATTATGCATTCAGTTTCAATGTTTCATCCACAGGACGATAATAATGTGGTTAAAAATCAAAACTGTATTTCACAATTCACAGTATTGTCTATTATTTTTGTGCACTTCAATTACCAGTTTTAAAAATGAGTTTTTATGGTGAGTGGTGTCCGATACGGTGACGAGTGAATATAAATAGATTAATTTTATTTATTCATGACGATTCGTCACGGTCATATTACGAAAAGTTTGACGTCGTATATCAGCTTTAAATATATATTATAATCTAAACTTATTAGCAAAATTTAGCTTTACAAAACGAGTTAATTGGAAACACTTCCCGTTGAAATGAAAAATCGGACTAACCACTGAACATAACTTAATAACTTAATTATTGTGTCGTCGTTTTTAAAATTTTATTCTATTTTGATGTTGTTTACCAGCCTCGCTCGCGCGAAATAAGTCGTTGGTTCATTAAGGCAATTGAAAGATGCTTCTATTCCTTTAATAATTTCCTTGATGTTAGTTCCTTATTTCAGTAAACCAAATTTCAATCCCTTATTCAAAAGATTTAATTTATTTCACCCACTTAGTTGACCTTCGTTATTATCGTTATTATTTGCAGGGTCATTTTCATAACTTGCCCCGATGTAGAGAACTTTGAAGCTTATACTAACAAAAATACCCTGTTTTGAAAATTACACCACCGTTGCTATTTTATTGTATATCTCATTAAGCTCTCGTGTTAGGAGTTTCCAAAGTTTGTAAGTTCGGAGCTTAAGATACTACTGCGTCTTTTATTTTTACAATTATTCGAAAGATTAACATAATGTGGTTGAGGTACGTGGACGATATTTTTTCTATTTTTGGTACGAGTACCTAAAACGTGCAAGAATTTGTGGATATTTTGAACAGTTAGTTTAACAAGAGAAAGAAATTAGTAGTTTAGAAAAAGTTTTCAAAGTTTTCGGTGTGAAAGTGGTTTACATGTTTGCACCGAACCGACAAAACCTTGTCGACAACCCGGAAGACAAAGTAGGGAGAAAGGAAAAGTCGGAGATTTATGAAATCAACTGTAAAAATTGTAATCAAAGATTTATTGGACAAACAAAAAGGTCAATCATCAAACGGTTTAAAGAGCACATGGCTCACTGAAGACTTGATAGGAAACTTGAAAAGATTGTTTTAAATTCGCCAGATGAGTTAACGTTGAATATTTTTAGTTAGTGGAAGTCAAGTTTGTCGCTTTCTGAATGGCGTTTTTGTTGTTCAGTAGTTTGACATTCGATCTTGTAAAACGAATAACAGATACAGTGAAATAAACCTGTATGTTAAGTGGATAATAAAATGTAGTGTAAAACGTCTTTCGACTTTACAGCCTGTCACAGTTGTAACAGTACTGGGAGTAAATTTTCTTTACTTACACAAGGATGCGATTTCAGAGTGAAAGCTAGCATTTAATTTCGTTAAATTCCATATCAAGGCGTATTGTGTATTTGTGGCATTGGGCGTAACATTCTTTTTAGCGAGTGATCATTTTTTTCAATTAGCGCTGATTTTTCCAGCTGGGAGTCAGAGGATTTGTTGATTCCAGTCACGCTATACCGTATGTAACTGCAGTCGCAGCGAGGGAATGCGTAAGCTTCTGTTTTATATGCGCTTGCGGTATAAATTTCATTATTTTATACAGCAGCCCTATTTCTTGTTGAATCGAAATTGTGCTCTGAACCATTTAAAGCTATTCCAAAACTGTCGCAACTTCTGTATTATTGAAAACGTTTCGGAGCAGCTTTTAGGATCAATTAAATAACCACCAGTCACAATTCAGGTTCCGGAGATCCTTTCAGAAATCACGAAGAATGTATTTTTAATACAATAAACAGGATGAAGATGTAAAGAATTTGAAAAGAATGTAATTTATAACATTTCGAATGGCTGCTCTTGCATCTTTACGCACGTAAGTAAATGTTTCATTTGTCATTTATTAGGGAACAAAACGGAATGTCGACTATATTGTTATGGAAGTTTGAGGGCATTTTCCAGCTGCCTCCACAAATTTTGTTTTTAATGTTTAAGAATGCTGTTGTGGTTACCTCAAATTTTTACTAAATCACATCTATAGGTTCGGCTGTTCCAAGTTTTTATCAAAAGTGGCCCACTCATATTATTATGATTTACGGCGTTTTTCCAGTTCTGATTCCCGTTTCTTCTCTTTGAATCGAAAACATAAACATGGCGGCGCGTCGTTTTTGTGAAAGTGTTTCGTTTGTTTTATTTTTTTCCGAAAGCCGCTACTATTATCAATTCTGTGTATTCTGTGTGCATCCATTGTCGAACCTTCATAAATTTTAATAATATTAAGAAGTCATTGATTTTCTATGTCCGTAAGTTGAAAGGACGTTATTGATAACGAATTATACCGTATTGCTCGGTCGCTTTTATATGGAAAAGGACCGATGCCATCTGTTTCAAATATTGTTATTTCAGTCATTCTTTTTTCGGCTTTTTTCCTTTTATTTTCTATAAAATTGATCCAATAAATCAATTTTACTGTTGTATCACGTAAAAACATGGACAATAAAGGATGTGCATTGACGCAGCAAAGGTTAATCTCATTTTAGCCAACAGTCGATTATTACGATCTATTATTAAATTGGCGGTTACGTTAAGTAAATAACAATTTTACTCTAATTAAAAGCTTTTATGTGTGCATCCATCGGCGTAATTTGTGTGATTCTGCACTTAAATTCTCCATCATATCTAATTAAATCCAAGCCAACGTTTAACCGCGGCGTTGAACCAAGCTATAACCAAGATAAATTGCAAATATTTTTGAAAATTTAAAGCCAAACGAATTTTATGCGGGCGCATAAATTTTACCACGTAATTTCGCGAAA